TGTCTTGCTGTGTGACTTAAAGCAGTGACTTAATCTACCTGAGCCTCATTTTTGCCCTGTAGAAACAAAGCCACCAACCTCTTCTGCAGGGACCATGAGTGGGATTGAATGTAGGGGAAAGTACTCAGCACTGCGGCATTAGTGTTATTGCTGTTGTAGTTTCAGAGGCCATTTACTATGTGATTGAGAATGTAGACCAGGGGGTGTCGGGACTGGGGCTTTGAGGGATGACTAGGAGTTTGCCAAGCCAGCATCCCAATGCTGGCTTAGCCACTTGGGCTGTGTGACCCTGAGCAAGTCACCTCACTTCTCTGGACCTCAGTTTTCCCATCTACCAAATGGGACAAAATAATTCATACCTTTTGTATTTTTGTGTACTGAGGATTAAACCTGATGCCTTTACATTGATGTTTGCTCTCCAGCCCTTCTTTATTTTAATTTTGAAATAGGGCCTTGCTAAATTGTCCAGGCTGGACTTGGACTTGAGATCCGCCTGCCTCAGCCTCTTAAGTGCTGTGATACAGCCGTGGGCTACTATACCTGCCATGGTTTTCACAGGCACCTGGCAGACACCCCCCCCCCCGAAGCCATGCTCGCTCCCATCTGTCCACCCCTTGCTTTGGTAAAGATAGGCCGAGACCAGCTTGCAGGTAGGGACTTGATCTTCTGAGGAGTGGGCAGCCGGCAATGGGCCTAGCCGCTGAGCAGCAGCGCGCAGTGTCCACGAGCTGGAGAGAAGAGGACAGGCTGGGCGCCCTCCCCTGGCCAGGACGCAAAGGGATGGCTGGGGGTGTCTGTCTCCCTGTAACACCCAGAGCCGCCCCAGAGCCTGGCCTCTGGCTCCCACAGACACTGCGTGGAAACATCTGTGCCGGCCAGATGTTCCTGGTTTGCCCCCAGATGTGTGTCGCCAGTGTACAGCTGCCCCAGCCACCGGTGGGGTGGGCCGGGCCCTGGGGCCCTCTGAGGGAGGGGCCACATTTTTGTGGGCTGTGGAATTTGTTGCTTTTCGGAGCCATTGAGTCTCCTCTTGAGAGAGTACCAGACCCCTGGCCCAGTCCTGCGTTCGTGGGGCCTCGGTTTCCCCATCCGTACAACCCTGGTTGACAGCCACAGATGGAGAAAGAGGCCCCAGCCTGCGGATGCCCATCCTGGCCAGCAGGAGTTCATTGGATTCAGTGGATCTTTAAATAGGGGCGGGGCCCTATGCAGATCCTTGCACAGATGGAGAAACTAAGGCCCGGACCGAACCTGAGGCCTGGCACCCGGGCAGAATTAGGTCAGCAGGCCAGAGGCCTGCGCATGCGCACTCCTAGATCCCCCCCTCCCCGGCCTTTCTGCCTGCGCGTGTGCACAATTGGCATCGTGTCCAGCTAGCTCTGCCTGTTGGTGGCCGTGATGGCCCCACTCGGTCAGGTCCTTCCTGGTGTTCCAGAGGTGGCTTGCATCACCCTTTGGCTGCCGATGGAGAAACTGAGTCACCAAGGGATAATGAATGAGGAGGAAGGAAGGATGACATGGACACAGATGTTGCTGTCAGGGCTGGGCAAGTGGGAAAGAGTTGTAGCTAGATGACCAGAGAGGCTGTCTCGTGCAGGGGCTACGAGAGCCAGGGCCTTAAAGGATGAATAGGAGTTTACCAGATGGAGATAAACCAAATTCCCAACTCTCCCAAAGTAGAAAAGACGAGTGGATGGAAAAAGGGATCCGTTTGCCTTCTTCATCTCCCTGGAAGGAGCTATGAAATAGGTGGTTCCATGAGGGGAGTGACCCCGGGGCTAATGCACATCCCTTTCCGCATTGCTAACACCCCACTCCCAACTTCCCATGCCCTTCCTTGGCTCGGGTAGAAAGATCTCCCTGGCCAAGTGACTGTGAGCTACTTCTGGCCCCTCTCTGCACCTCAGCTTCTCCTCCCTCCCCGCCACCAGACCCAGCACGAGACTGCTGACACCTGGCCTAGGTCCTTCTTGCTGCATTCAGGCTGGTGTGGCTGGTGCAGAGAGGTGCTCCAGGCCTGGGTGGTGGGAATTCTCCAGCCCATGGACCTTGTCCCCAGCAAGGAAGGGCCCACTGCCAGGCCCTGATTCGGCAGCATGGGTGGCCCTGGACATCCTTCCTCCCCCAAGTCCTCTGCCACACCTGCAAACCCCCCCCCCCCGCCCCCAGTCTGTGCCATAGACAAACCAGTCGGGTGACCCCCACACAGAAAGGCCATTGTTAAGGCTGCTTATCAGCTGCCATTGCTGGGCCCTGCCTGCTGCTCTCCTGCCCCCCACTGCAGCGCCCCTGGGGGTCTGGACCCCAAGGCCACCAGGCTGTGACCAGGCCGTCCTGGGCTGCTTCCTCACTTACTCCCATTAAACCCTTAGTGGAAACAATCAGAACTCAGTCTCTTCCAGCCTAATAGGGAAACTGAGGCAAGCCACACCTAGACTCAGGTGTGGGGGCAGCAGCGTGCTGGTGGGCTGTGAGGCCTGGGTGGGTAGGTTTCCCTGCCTGTCTTTCCCTCCTGGTGTCCGAGTTGACACCAGCATTGAGATCCAAGCTCTGTGGCCTTAGGCTGGTAATGTTACTTCCCTGAGCTACAGTTTTTACTTTTTTTTTTTTTTTTAGACAAGGCCTCACTACGCAGTTCAGACTGGCCTTGAACTCAGTCACTTACCATAGCTTGAACTATAGTGGCGATCAGATTTATGGCGATCCTCCTGCCTCAGCCCCTCTCCCTAGGGCTGGCCACCACACCTGGCTTTTTCCAATCTGTAAAGTGAGGATATGGCTGTCGCTGCCCCTTGGGACGCTTGGGAGACTGAAGTGCTGTAACATGGGGTCAGTCTGTGGAGTGGTTCTGGGTATGCAGCGGGTGCTTGTTAAGGGCACACGGGCTGGCTCTGGACACCCATGAGTGCCAGGATTCCAGTCCCCTCTCCCCTCCCCTCCTTCCTCGCTACCCCTAGCTCCCTCTGCTTCTGCTACATGGGCCTCCCTCACTGCAGGCTCTGTCCTGCACAGGATGATTGTTTGCCTGTTCTCTTCCTTGGGCCCTCAGTGTCCTCCAGCCTGCACATCATAGGTGCTCAATAAACGCTATCTGGATGAATGGATGTATGTGTGGATTTATTGGGAGTGTGAAAGAGACCCCACCCTGGATATCTCAGGCTTGGCATGCAGTTAGCGCTTAATAAATGGCGCAGGCTTCTGTGATGGGCTTAATGCGAGCTCAGGGCCACACACTGAGACCTTGAAGCCTGGGATTTAAATTTTCTATTATTTATTTATTTGCAGTCCTGGGGGTTGAATCCACAGCCTTTACACTCAGCTCCATCCCGAGCCCTTTTATTTTGTATTTTGAGACAGGATGTTGCTAAGTTGCCCTGTCTGGGCTTGAACTTGGGCTCCTCCTGCCTCCAGAAATAGACCTTGGGATCTAAACCACCCAGTGCCACACTTGTCTCTCTCCTTCCTTCCTTTTTCCCGTCTGCAAGTGTCTCTAAAGCACCTATTTTGCGCTAGGGAGTCCGCTAAGCCCCTCCCCCCATGTGGGTCTCATCAGATCTACAGATTGGTCCAGGATTTGCTTAGTCCCGCATCAGGGAGCTCATCCCCCTAGCACCAGCAACACTGGCAAAAATAAAGAAATAGCCATCCCAGACCGGGGTGTAGCACTTGCCTAGCCTGCGGAAGGGCCTGGGTTCACCTCACCCCCAAGCCCTACCATATATCGCTACCAGAGACCAGCCCCCACCTCTTCTGCGCCTCCGTTTCTCCAGCTATAAAATGGAGATGCGAGCACCTTTCTGATGGCCTAGCGCACAAATGGTGCTTAATAATTAAATGGCCCCTGCTACTATTGGTGGTGTCACTACCTTGTGCCAGTGAGTTCATGGAAAAGGGGGCTGAGTGGAGGAGGTCCTAGTCCCCCCACTCGCACGTGCAAATCGCATGCAAATGATTGCAAATCACGCGCTAATGAATGCTCTGAGCTGCCTGCGTGTGGCAGCGCTGGCGATAGCGCTGCACCTCCCGGCAGCCCTGCCGGCTGCAGCCGTGCTCAGCTCAGCTCAGCGCTGCTGTAAATGTTTATGCTGCCGGGCGGGCGGCCAGGCTCCGAGACCCCAGGCAGCCGGCGGGAATGTAAACGCGGCCGGGGCACCGGCACGGGGCGCGGGGAGCATTTGGCCCCCCGGAGGGGCGATGCCAGCAGTTATTAAACACCTACTGTATGCAGCGAGCTCGGTGCTGCAGCACCAGAACCTTCAGGGAGGGGGAGTGGGCTCAAAGGGCCCTCGTCCAGGTCACAGACTGCTGGGGAACGCGGGAAGGTATAGCCAGGGTGGGCTTCCTAGAGGAGGCGCTGTCGGGAGGGGGACTGCAGTGGGAGGGGGAAGAGGAGTGGGGCTGGGGGCATCAGCCTGTGCCAAGGCCTCAGGGCTGGCACTCCGTGTTGGCGAAGCGTTGTTCCATCGCTGCCCGCTTTGGAGCACCAGCTTATCCCTCTGGAGGGAAAACTGAGACCCAGAGAGGGACAAGGAGTCATTCATGGACATAAATACTTGGTCACAGCGTCAGCCCAGTTCCTCCCACCCCTGTTGTGTAGCGCCACCTACCGGAAGGTCTCACGGCCCTCCACTTGCTGGCTACCTGGGTTGGGCCTCAGGGCCTTTGCACTACTGTGCCCTCCCTCCTTGCCTGGACACTGCTCAGATGCTTGGCCAACTCCTACCCTTGCTCAAGTCTGGGCTCTACCATGGGCTCCTTAGAAAACACTCCGGGACCCTTAAATGGGGGCGGCTCCCCATTACCCTGGCACAGAGCCCGTCCTGTCCCTGGCAGCACCTCACCATCGTGTTCCATGGTTCCCAGATGAATCATTTCCATGTTACTAATGATCATTAAGCATGGGGTGTTCAAAGGCAGGGGCCCCACTGTTCACAGCGCCCGGCACCCCGTTTGTCACCAAAGACAGACAGAGGGTGGAGGCTGAAGCCCTGTGTCTGCAGGCTGAGGATGCAGCGCTGGAAGGCGGCGGCCCTGGCTTCTGTGCTCTGTAGCTCCGTGCTGTCCATCTGGATCTGTCGCGAGGGTCTGCTGCTCAGCCACCGCCTGGGACCGGCTCTGGCCCCTCTGCGCCGCCCACCACGCACCCTGGACGCCCGGATTGCCCGCCTGGCCCAGTGTAAGCAGCGCCCTGCCCCTGGGCGACCCCGCGGGGTGGGAGGAGCTTCAGGCCCCAGTTTTTAGATGCAGGTGGAGGGAGGGTGCAGATCCCCCACGAGGGACTGGCGGGGGAGGCTGGCTGCTGGCAACCAGGGTCCCTCAGCTTAGCTGTCACAAGGAATTAGGTCCTAGCCCTGAGGGGCCGTGGGGACCAGATGGAGATTAGATCTGGCTTTCAGCCTGGACCTGCAGCGCAGCGGGGGACCAGGGAGAGAGAGAGGCCAGATCCCATGGTGACCTGCCCAGATGTCAGGGACCAAGGGGAGGAGACACAGAGGAAGGTCTGGGGACAGGCGGAGGGATTCAGGATGGAGAGAGGACGGAGAGAGACCCCAGACCTGGACAAGAGCTGCCAGGCCCCCAGAGCGCAGCCTTTGCTCAACTCCTCACCCGGCCCTGGCTCCCGTCTGGCCTCAGGTGCTGTCCCACCAGGCCTTGACCCCTTGTGCACGCGCACGTGGCCGTGCGGGTGGCCAGGCGGGTGCTGATGTGGGTGGGGCGTGTGCGGCAGTGGGCGCGGGCACGTCCATGCTCGCCCGCTGGCGGCCCACACAATCCTTCTTTCTTGTCCTCACAATGGACAAGGGTGGCCTCAGGCAGGAGCTCTGAGCCCCTGCATCCCATGGCCCCACCCCTCCTAAGAGCTGCAAAGCCCTTCCGAGGACACTGGGTCCCCAGACCTAAGCCAGCCTGCAGGACCAGGACCTGGGGGTGAGGCAGGAGTGGGCTCCGCCCAGGGCAGGTGCCTGCCTGTCCTTGGGCTCATAAGGGGTGAAGGTGGGGTGAGGACAGAGTGGCTGCTGATACCCTACTGCCCAAGGTTCCAGGCCCTGAACTAACTCACAGAAGATGGATTTTCTTCTTCTTGGTACCGGCGGTTGAATCCAGGGCCTTTTGCAGTGAACTACATGCATTCCTAGCCCCTTTTAAATTTTTTATTTTATTTTTTGAGATATGAACTCAGTAAGTTGCTCAGTCTGGGCTTGCACTTGTAATTCTCCCGCCTCAGCCTCCGGGGTAGCTGATGACAGGTGAATAGGATGACATGCTGAATAGGAGCTTAGCGCCTGCAGACAGGCACAGGGGCCGGGGATTCGATGCCCGGGCCTGCCGTGCCAGCCCCGGCCCTGGGGCACGCTGAGAAGGCGATTGAGACTGGCTCTAGGGAGGCTGTAAACAGGTGGATCACTATGTGTTCAATCTAGTGATGAGACCTTGCATACTCTGTAGACCCTTCCCTAAAATACAAAAGAAAGAAAGTGGGAAGTTAGATAGGGCTGAGGGGAGTGGATCTCATCTCAGTTTGTCCAGACCCCTTATAAACAGCCAGCCCTGTAGAGGGAGACAGGGACAGGTTACTGGTTGCTTCTGTAAAGTTGAAGTTTAATTGTGCACCAGTATTTTATTTGGCAGCCCCTAGATCACTTTGGAGGAGGAAACACCGTAGAATTCTTTTTCCAGTCCTTTGGAGATAATCTAGGGCCTTTTCAAGAGCTCCATCCCCAGCCTGTTTGCTTTTTTTTTTTTTTTTTTTTTTTTTTTTTTTTTTGGTCTGGGAATCTATTTTTGTTTGTTTTTGAGACAGGCCCCACTCTGTAGCTCAGACTGGCCTTGAACCCAGCCTAGACTGGCCTCCAACTCACAGTGATCCTCCTGCCCCAGCTCCCAAGTGCTGGGATTACAGGTGTGTGCCACCATCCCTGGCATCCCCAGCCTTTGTAAATATTTTTTATTTTGGGACAGAGTCTCACTAAGCTGCCCAGTTTCATGGTAGAATTTTAAGCACTAGAATTGATTTGGGTTCACCCTTAACCCCACAGCACCGTCTTACCCATCTCAATCCTGGGCTCAATGGACACAAAATCTGCTGCCCAGGAAACCCCAGATGCCCACCTTTTCTGTGCAATCCAGGACAGGGATGAAGCAAGATTCTTTGAGCAGTCGGAGAAACTGAGGCAGGGGTGGAAGTGCCAAAGCCAGACTCAGAGCCAGGGTTTATGTGATGGCTAACCCCCCACCCCATGGAAACAGCCTCATTCTCAGGGGAACGGAAAACCCCTCCTCCTTGGGTCCCCCAGAAAGCTCATTCTTTTAAAGGCTGCGTCAGCCTCAGGTCAGACAGGCATCCAGTCAGGATTTCCTCTTCCTTCATGTGCCTGGCCGCCACATTCTGTGGGCCAAGAGTTCTGCGTTGGCCCTTCCTCCTGGGTACTGCCCCAATCTCCGAGTGGCACTGTTGGGCAGGGACAACTCCTTGGGTCATAAATCTCAGCTTGGGGCCCTGGGAATCTCTGACCCAAGGCAGCTTTTGGTGACTGAGAGAAGACCAGGGATTGGGCCAAATTTGGGCAGTCGAGGGAGGTAGAGAGAATTTTTTTGCCTTTCTCTCTGCCACCTGCTAGTGTTGTGACCTTGCCTTTGGTCACATCTCCACCCTCACCTGTTCCATAGGGGTGGAGCCCACAGTAGCTGTGCCCACCCAGGAGGCCTCAGAACTGAGAAATCTTAATTCTTCTCTCCCCTTTTGATTCCTCTCCCCGTCACTCCTGGGACTGCTCCCTGAGCTACACCCCCATCCCTGATTTTCTTTTGAGTGAATCTTCCTAAGCTTCCATGCGGGGCTGGAACTTGTGATCCATCTGCTGCAGCCTCAAGAATGCTGGGGTGACAGGTGTGTGCGCCAAACCTTCAGTGTCTTAAGATGGAGAAACTGAGATGCACTGCAGCAAGGGGAAGGGAGGGTATTTGAGAAGGGTTCCGAGACTGAGACTGAATATGGGACATCGGATGGGGACCCATGACAGCTCACCTAAGGAATGAGGGACAGGCTCCAAGGGGAAGAGACTCCAAACTGCCCACAGAGGTGTGTCAGTGCCCCTGGTCAGCCCAGCACAGGGAAAGGGCTAGCACAGAATGCAGAAATTAGATGGGGGAAAGGGAGGTGGGCAGCAATGAAGTGGGGGGCCCCAAAGGACGTGCCTAGAGACCTCGTTCAGCTCAGCTCAAGGTGTAGAGGCAGAGACACAAGTGCAGGATCCTGAGAGGGGCGTTCGTGGTGCAAGAGTCCGAAAATACACCTCCTGATTCTACCCAGCGAGGATGCGTGCTCAACAGAGCCAGAGGGTGTGGGAGGTGGATCCGGGTGTGGGTCAGAGCAAGGGCCCTCCTGGCCAGGGAACGGCGCTGCACAGACCCCCTGACAATACTCTCTCCCTGCAGACCGAGCTCTGCTCCAGGGTGCCCCCGACGCCGTGGAGCTGCAAGAGCTGGCGCCCTGGGCTGGCCGCGCCCCTGGTCTGCGCCGTCGGGCGGGACCCCGGCGTCGGCGCGCACGTGCGCGGTCTGGGTCCCAGCCTTGCGGGCTGCGCGAACTGGAGGTGCGCGTGAGCGAGCTGGGCCTGGGCTACGCGTCCGACGAGACGGTGCTGTTCCGCTACTGCGCAGGCGCGTGCGAGGCGTCCGAGCGCGTGTACGACCTGGGGCTGCGGCGCCTGCGCCAGCGCCGGCGCGTGCGGCGGGAGCAGGTGCGCGCGCAGCCCTGTTGCCGCCCGACGGCCTACGAAGACGAGGTATCTTTCATGGACGTGCACAGCCGGTACCACACGGTGCATGAGCTGTCGGCGAGCGAGTGCGCCTGTGTGTGACCCTACCTCACCCGCCTGGCAAGACGGCGGCCACGCCCCTACACCCCTCCCAAGGTACCCACCGCCCAGCCTGGCCAGCCCTGCAAAGGACTGCGCATGTGCAGAGTACACCGTCGAGGCCGCGGGACTCTCACTATTACTGTATTGAGCTATAAAGTGTGGGAACTCGAGCCTGGCTGGTGATGCCTGTCGTCCAGACCCCACCTGTGGGTGTTTCATCTGGGGTTCCCTTGGGAAAGGGGGATCGCAGGGGATAATACCTAAGGGGTGGTGGTGGGGACTCCATTTGTTTGGAAGGAAAGAAAAGTAGATCCAAAGGGGGCTCTGTTGAGGGGGTACACAAAGGAAAGTGGGATCAGGTGTGGTGGCGCAGGGCTGTCACCCCAGTGCATAGACTGAGACAGGATGGTGAAGAGCTCAAAGCTAAGCTGGACGGCGCAGTGAGACTGTCTCCAAAAGGAAAAAAGGACCTTCCCTACTCCTTCCTCCAGAGCACGTCTCCATCTGCACCTTCCTTCAGTGCATGCTGGTGAAGAGCACTTGAGGTTGAAGAGGGAGGTGGAAGAAGACAGGCCGCTAGACGGATGAAGACAGTGGGGTCTAGGTGGACGCAGGCCTCCCCTGCCTGGTGGGCCTTGTCAGGCCGATCCGCAGCTGGCAGAACTATCTCCTTTCACCAGCTAAAAACGCTGCACCCACGCGCTGCCCACCTCCGGGTGGGTGTAGGTCTGGGCAGGCGCCAGCCTCATCCAGCCCAAAGCCGGCGCCTGCTGGGGCAGAACTGGGTCCCTGGAGACCTGGGTCCTGGGCCTATAAACGCTCTGAAAGGGGATTTACGATGGGCTTGCACAGAAATTGCAGAAAAGCTCTGGGCGGGGTTTTGGGTTTGTCCCCGGGTGTCACCTTGATGCTTGGCAGATCCAGATGGCGGCTAGAGGCTGGGTGTTGTGTTCCCAGAGCGAGGGAGGGCTCTGTGGGTTTCGGGGTGTGAGCAGCGGTGGGGGAGGGACAGAGAGCTTACACCCCTCCTCTCCTCGCCCTCAGACAACAGCTTTCCTAACGGGTGGTCCTGTTCCGCTGCCCTCCTTCCCCTAGGATTCGTACTATCCCTTCTGCCCCAGGCTAGCGGCTCCCAGGGACACTCTGTCTTCCCTTTCCCAGAGGCATCTCTAGAATGCATGGGTCCCTCTTTCCTAAATCTAGGAGGTCCCAGAGGTACAGCCTTCCTTCTCTCTCCCACACCTCCGAGTTCAGGACCTCCTTAAACCCTGCCCAGACTCTGCCCATCTTAAAGCTGAAGGGCATTATCAGAAGTGGCCCCCCTCTTGGAAGGTGTGGGGGCACATGCCTGTAATCCCAGCATTCAGGACGCTGAGGCAAGAGGATCCCTGTGAGTTCAAGGCCGTCCTGGCCTACACAGTAAGGTCTTCAAAATAAAGCCACCCCCTGGGGAGGCCTACGGAGACTGTGGATGCAGCCCTGTTCCTGGCTCCCAGTCTCACCTACACCCCTGCCGCAGTGGGAGACACTCAGAGTAGCTACCAAGCAAGACTTCTAGGGAGCCCTCTGGGGAGGGCTGGGCGGCCAGGCCCCGGCTGTGGGTGGTCTGCTTGGAAGGCAGTTGCAGGCCCGAGGCTGGCCAGGGTCCCCACCCGCCCCCACAGTCTTCTGACTCTGAGGTTTGGGGTGGTGGATTCCTGTTCTCTGTGGGCTGACTCAGCCCAGCCTTGGCAAAGAGGCCAGAGTTCCCAGATGCTGCAAAGGGCAAGTGGCTGAGAACCTCAGTTTCCCTTTCCTGTCTGGTCCTGGGGGCCCCAAGCCTCCAAGGGAAAGTTGCTAAGTTCTGGATAAAAAAGGGGAAGGTGGACACTGGAGCTAGGGTCTGCAGCCAGAAAGCTCCCTGCCTCAGTGTGCGCATGCGCATGCACAGGTGTGTGCATGTGCACACATGCTGGGCCGCATCTCCCACCAGCTCCAGCACCCTGACCACAGGGCACTGGCACAGGCCACCCAAAAACTGGAAACATAAACAGAGTTGCCTGTAGGCTCCTGGGGCCAGATTCTCAGGGACACCCAGCATGCGCGGGGCTGGGGTCACAGCTGCTGCGCACACCTGTAGGGCACAGTGTTGCCACTCACAGGGATCACACAGACCCTGGAGCCGGTTGCCCACTGACAGAAGCACCCTGAAGGTCATGCGTTATCCCAGGGGCCCATGGGTCAGACATGGGCCACAGGAGTTCAGCCATGACACCTTTGCCTGCAGAGACTGCCAGTGGCTGTGACAGACAGGTGCAGTCATTTGAGCACCTCGCACACCAGCCTCTCGAAGTCTCTAGAGACACCTCCAAGAGAGACAGCCACATGTTCAAACCAGCTCTCCACTCCAGGAAGATACAGGCCCACTTGCAACCAAAAGCACAGGGGCACTGTCAGGCCATGGCGACTGGCACAGCTGTGGTGACAGTTCCAGGACAGCCAAATGCTGAGTCGTGCACACCCACATGCACAGTTGCATGCTTGTTCTGAGCGCTGCTGTCCTGCTACACACAGCTGGGCCTACCTGGCAGGCACCCTTTCCTAGTGCACAGGGCAGGGAAAGTCCCTGTGTCCCCTGCACCGATAGGACCCTGGACAGCTTGGCTTTCCACTCCCTGCTCCCCTGGGTCTTTGTCATCTAAGCCTAGCAGCACCCACCCCCAGGGACACCTTTCCAAAGGGCTTGACCTTCAGGCCCACAGAAAGGTCAAGCACAGAGCTCCACCTTGTGATGCTGGGGCCCACATCCTTCTTGGCCTCAGGGATCTCCTGGGCACGCCAGGTGCTGGGCACATTCCTGGCCTCTTCCCACTAGAGTCCCCACTCCCCTCCCACAGATATAGCATTGCCAGCTTCTGGTGGGGACAGAAGCATCCTGAGGACAAATGGTTAATTTAGAATGAAGAAGGACACATCTATTTAGCTTGCATCACACCCATCTGGAAAATGGGGCCACATCATCTGCATGGCGCACAGGAGTGAACGATGGCAGGGACGCCACAAGAAAGTCAGCTAGAGGAATGGGCAACCAAGGAACAGGACCTTGGGGAGCCAGCACCCAGAGACAAGGGTCTGATGGGGTGAGGTCCCCAGCAGCCCAGTTCCACAACCATGGTCCCTAGCAAGGGACATCACCGCTAAAGGTGCGATGTGTCCCCTAACTGGTCTCTGGGAAGTACTGTCCCCAGCAGGTGAGGCTCTGGAAGGTGAGGTCCTCAGAACCCAGTTCCTGGCAGGAGAGATGGCAGCAGGTGGCATCCTAGCTGTTGAGGTGGCTGAAAACAGGTGTCCTGCAGGTGAGGTCCAAAACGGATGAGATTCCAGACTGGTGGGACCAGAGCAGCAGAGACTCCTGCAGCTGGGTCTCGGGAAGAGTGGGTCCCCAGAGGAGGAAGGCCACTAGATGAGGCTCCCATGGGTGAGATTGCAAGTGAGTCCCCTATAGGTGATGACACCACAAGTGTCCCCACACAGCTGTGTCCTTTACAAGGAACCCATGCATTTGACACTCCCTGCAGGCAAGTGACCTAACAGACCAGTCCCTCACAGATGATGTAACACTCAGGGATAGCCCATAGTGAGCCTCACTGAGGTGAGTCCTCATAGACAAGGTAGAGAAGAGCAGAGAGAGGCCTACCTCGAGGGTCCCACACATGCTGGCAAGGGGGCCAATCGGTCATGAGAGCCCTTACCTGGGGCAATGACGGGACAGCTGCTCCCTGCGATGCTGATGGAAAGAAATAAGGAAGAAGGAAGTGGAGCCGCAGCCGCACCTGCCCAATCCAGGCCTCTGCACCTGGCATCAGGTGACCAGGGTGGACCATTATGTGGCCAGCTGGCATCTCACCCAGGCAACAGCCAGCTCCCCTAACCCATCCAAATTGCCCAGGGGGAAGCAGTGTGCAAGGTTCAGGGCCACAACTGGCCCGAGGACAGAACAGCCCATGGGGCCTTGGGCACCAGCTGACTGACACAAAGGAGCCCAGATGGAGCAGAACCACTGGTTCTCAGAGAGGGTTTCACGGGGCCCCAGGGGCTCCCTGGGGTGGGGGTGTGAGCAGCAGGTGAGCAGCGGCCCCACCCCACCCCCTTCGCCTCCTCCCCGTCCCGTCCTCTCCTGCCCATCCACGCACATTCTGCTGCACACCAGACAAAAGGAGACGCGGGCAGGAAGTGGGCGAGGTGGGCAGTGCACAGGGCCAGCTCCCACAGACCCTCCTGTTCCTACAGGAGCCCACAGGTGCCAGGGGATTTGCAGAGAAGGCGTCCGCAGCCCCCGCAAGGCCTTCTGTGCTGCCACACAGTGCACAGCCCGTTGTAAATGCTGTGGAAAGGCCTGTCAGTGTCTGAGGCAGCAGGGCCAGACACTCTTGGTGCAAACCGCTGGCTTTGTGGAGGACACTGTTATTTCTGTGGAGCAGAAGGCAGAGTGGTTTTGAGATGCAGCAGAAGCTCTGGACACTGCCATTTGCCTGTGATAGCTGCAGGGGGTGGGTGTGGCTTGGCCAGAGGCCACGACCTCCCCAATCTCCATTTGTGCTCCTTATTTCCCCACTCTAGACCAGGACAGTTTGTCTCCAAGTCTCCCTGGCTATCCAGCAGCCACTGCTGTCCACCCCACTCCAACATGGTGCAGCTCCACTCTCAGCCAGGCACCCCTTCCCTGCTCTAGCTATCTTAAATGCTGGTGTTGCTGCTTCTGCTGCTGCCGTTTATGAAGGGAGGAGGTGCCATGGGGTGGCTGAGACCAGGGAGGGAAGGGCAGGGGCTCCTGATGAGCAACCCCAACCCCACAGCTGCCCTTCCAGAAGATTCCCTGGCTCCGCCCCCAGCCCCTCACTGGACATCTCCACGACCATCCTGGGGCCCTGCACCAATCACAGCCCTGGGCTTGGGCCAGTCACGGGCCTGCAGCTGCTATATAAGCAGCGCTCTGCACACGCTTCCGAGGTCAGTCTAGCAGGGCTCCCCCAGGGCACTAACCCCTGTGCTGCAGCACAGACAGACCTGCCTTGGGGTCCTGTGAACCTGCCCTTGATCTCTTTCTCAGGGAGCGTGAGCTCCAAAAGACCTGCAAGCCTACTCAGCCTTCTTACACTGTGGCGTGGCCAGAGCACCGGCTTCCAGAGTA